GGACTCTGTCGAATAATTTTAGCAGCGGGATTTTCGCCTTGCTTGTGCAATACGCTTTGGCAATCGGATTAGACTGGAAACAATTGGCCATTTTCAACGGGATTTTTACCATTGTTCTCATGCCGTTCATTGTCAGATTGCCCGAGTCTCATGTTTGGCTCATCAGCAGAGGTAATTATAGTTATTTAACATATTCATTATTGGCTTGATCGTTATTCTTCCTTACATCGCTGCCTCTGTGTGTCTCTGTAATTGGTATAAAAGTCCATTAACCGCGTTACCGATGTAAAGCTAAATGTGTGGAATGAGCGATTCACTAAAAAAAAAACTACGTCTTGTCATTATAGGTGGTGTGAAGTTAAATTGAATGGCTTATTAGTCCCTGATTCCTTGCATATTTTTTGCGCAAGTCATTAAGCAAATACGAGGGTCGGGCCACTTATTGGACAAACACTTTCTTACTAAGCCAAACATTTAAATTTTCTTGCTATTTCGACCATTATCTAAAATTCAGAAAATAAATTGCTTAAAACAGCAACAAAATCTTAATTTTTTTTTAGTTTGCCTGAACATTTTTAGCGCCTTTCGTGACATGGGTGGAGAGAGAACCCCAACCATGACTAGAAAGTTTTCACTAACCATGCAGCAAATTGGAGAAAATTGTAAAAATAAAAAAAAACATCCCGGAACCTTAAAAAATTAAGCGCTGTATCAAATTAGCGTCCTCTTGAAAATAAAGGAAGAATGTGCGAATGTTTTTCAGAAATATGTTTGAACAAAAAAGTTGGGGAAAGATGCATGATGAAAAAAAAATAATTGTGGAGCTGATAAATTTATTGAGTCTGAATGTTTTCGTTCATCAGGCAGGATACATTTTATTTTATGAAAAATGTTTAAAGATGATTGCCGAAGGTAGCTCTTTATAATTTTTGCCAAATTTTGCAAACCTCACAGGAAGAAATGACGAGGCTCGCAATTCGTTGCAATGGTGCATGGGAGAACACTACCATTGTGATACGGAATTCGAAGACTCAGTTAGTCACCAAACTGATTCAAGAGAATCTGTTGGAAAGCTGAAAGACGTGCTGAATTTCCAATACTTGAAGCCCGTTTTAATTTTGCTGGTTTTCATTTTTGCGAGACCATTTTGCGGCGGAATCGTCATCATGTATTTGACTTCTCAAATCCTGCGGAAAACAAACCCTGCGCTGGACCCGAAGTGAGTTTTTTTATGTTTTAAATGAGTTCAATGTAAAACATTAGGAATTAATATTTTAAACCAGATATGGAGTTGTGATCCTCGGATTTTGCCAGCTGGTTTTTGTGATTATTGGTGGGCGGATGATGGACAAAATCGGAAGGAAGCGGTGCATTGCCATCTCTGGGATTGTCATGGCTGTAAGTCAGGCAGGTTTAGGAGTGTACTCCTTTTGTGAGGCAACCCCTGGCTTGGAACA